GCCCAAGGGTAAGGTTCTCCTAGATTTTGACACAGCTCCCCTACCACCGAGAGGCAATGTTCTCACCGGTTGGTCGACTTTGACCAAGTCGATCATCGGAGCTGGTATGCTGAGCTTTGCTGATGCACAGGCTGTTTGTGGGTGGGCATTGGGTCTCGTCCTTCTGGTCGTCTTTGCCCTCTTATCTCACTTCTCCTTACACCTGATAAGCAGGTGTGCCATGAAGATGCCCGGTAAAAGGCTGAGCTACAGTACCTTCGCTGTGTTTGCTGGTTATCCAAGCATGCCACTATTCATCGACTCCCTTATGTTCATCCATAATGCCGGTATCGATACCGCTTACCTACAGGTCTTTTCTAGCCTTGGTTTGGCACTTATCGAAACTTGGTCCCCCGGTTCAACAAGCGAGAGTAGATTCTGGATCCGAGTTGGTCTAATCGGTTTCATCGTCCTTCTGCTCTTGCCCATCTGTTTCCTCAAGAGAATAACATACACTGCCATCACCAACTTCATCGGCCTCTGCCTTTTCCTCTATGCAGTAGCTGCCGGTGTTATCTACTCCTTCAGTGTAGACGAACAAGTTGGGGAGCGCTATGTGGGGATACCTCCGACCACAACCATTTGGTCGATTTTGTCGGTTATCCCGATCTTTATTTTCGGATACTCTTGTCACTTCAATCTGCCTTCGGTTGCCGAGGATATGGTCAACCGCGACATGAAGAAGTTGACTACCACATCGGTCTCCTCTATAGCGGTCGCCCTTATTTTCTACGCCCTCGCAATGACAGCGCCTTACTACGCTTTTGGTGATACAGTCGAGTCCAACTTTTACCTCAATTTGCCGATATCGAACATCGCCATACACATAGGTTATATCGCTCTACCATTCGCCGTGCTCACTGCCTTCCCGCTGTTGCTCTTCCCAGCAAGGCAGTCCATCTCGAGTGTTGTGACCTATTACTTCCCTAACCTACAGGATACCCTAAAGTTGCATATCGGAACGACAGTAGCATTCCTAATCATCTGTACGGTTCTAGCAATCATCTTTGAGGACCTTGGTGTTACCATTCAGTTCATCGGCATCATCGGTACCAACTTCCTCGCTTTTGTAATACCCTGCTTTGTCTACTTGAACATATGCCTCGTGCGCCCCGGTGAGGGTAGTGCTGATCGCAAGGCATCGTGGAGGGAAGTGTTCGGCCATCAGTCTGTTGAATGGTATCTAGCCCTAACCCTCTTTGTCATTAGTATACTCTTTTTTCCTCTCTGCCTCACAGGACTTTTGTACAGCCTCATTGTCAGTTGAATGCTGTCCCTAAAAGACACAACATTCCTGATAGTTTTTTCACCAAAGTGGTGATAACCATTGTTTCTGCGCAAGCAGGAAAACTCTGGTTTTCTTTTAGCAGAGATTCGGATCTCGTTATTAGAGGATTATCTTATATAAAGGGGGAATTATCACATCACTTTCTCGCTATCAAGTTTCACATCTCCCCGAGGTTTTGAATAGTGTTGCTAAGTTATCCACATCGGGGGTTCGAAAACTTGGGAGTTTACAACTATTGCTGGCCGCTTTCAACTGTCCAGCGGAAGGTCGGACGTAGAGTGGTGGAGCGACAGACCGGAACCCATGGGGGCACGTGGCATGTGGGTGAAACTAAAGACCAGAATCACCTGATGTCGTGTTCGGGTTCTCCAGAAGGTTACGTAAAGGGCCATCACTTACAGCGTGAAGCCAAGAGCCGCTCAGTAGACTTTGAGGGGCGATACAATACTTAATCTAATCACAGGTCCTTCGTCACTCGATCCTTCAGATCGAATCGACGGCAAATCGACGACGACAGCTTCATGTTGGAATACATTGTCTATGTGGAATATGTATTATACATATCTCCCTCATGGCTGAGTTCATAACGAGTCTCGCAGACTCCTCAATCAAGTAGTCGTTAACACATTTATCATAAATGGTTCATGAGAGCTTCAACTGCTTTACACGTGACACCCCTTTTTGTGCTGTGTTTTTTTCTCGACAATCGAATCAACATAATTACTACCTTGAAGCTAGCAACGAGCCAAGCGAAGCGTTTGACGCGGTCTGTTGCGTTAGAATTCCACTTCGCGTCACAACGTGTAAAACGCGACAACGTGGAAACGCGTTTAACGCGACACTATTTGACAAGAGCCCGTGCACTATCCATAGACGCCAGCAATTCTATACACACAAAGGCTCTCTCATTATCATAATGCGACATGCAGGAGCGAACATCATCATCAGCAGACATGGGAGCGTGAGGAGCATCAAGGTGGTTGATCATATGTGCAGAGCTGAGATCAATAGGCCGCCTAGGATGCTTATAGGATTCTCAACAACTTCCATTACCACCAACAGACAGGCATGGGGCCTCAGAGAGGAACGTATTTCTCGTGTGTTGGATCGTCACGTGTCTTACTGGGAGACAAAAATTTGAAACGCGTGTCGAGATCAAAGATAATCAACTTCGCGTTGTGTTTGCGTTTAATATCAGTGATTTTCACAACGCATTCATCATTAATTCTCTCTCGCAGATTTGGATCATATTCTTCCAAAGACAAGCCAGCTAAGATGCACTTTTTGAATGACATGCATGCCATGATATTCTGAGCACTTTTGGTTCGTACGATAGACCGTTGGAGATTACTGTAAATGTCCACCTCGTTATTCGCGCGTGTCAGTAGACTCGCATGCTTTAGTGTACTCATCTCAAAACAAGTCTCCCTACCTCGTGTTGCTACAATGGAGTTTTACGTGAAATGACCCAATACTCTATAGTATGTGAAAAACGTCGGTGAGATGTGTGTTCTCGCGAAGTGAATTGTGAAACATGTTTCTTTTCATATCACAGGTGGAACTTAACGCAACAGAGGCGATCATATGACATCACCGAAAGATATATGCAGACAAAACGAGACGTACATTCGCTGTACATCAAAACGATTCCGATAATTATCGCCTCTCCCGAACATCTCCATGTATTAATCATTACACGCGGTTACACGCATTGCTGGCGTCTAAATGCATTGTCGCTTCCCTCATTCAAAGTGCTCGGTTCGAGATGGCTATCTAAGGCCTTTAAGCATCCCCTGCTTGCGATCGCGCGCGCCCACTCAAAATGTTGTTATTGTTACTAATCGCTGCGAAGGACCGATGAAATTCCATCATACCCACTACTGCAACAACAACAACAACAACCAATTTCGCATTTAAACTTTGAAACGTCAGTTCACTTCTTCTGCTCCCAGACTCCTCATCCGAATGGCGGCCAAGCGTGATGCGATAAAGCACATAAATATCTCGCCCTAACATGGAAGCGCATACACGTACAGGGAAATTGGTGGAAATGGTACTATCGTCACGAAAACATGTGGTTGCGGAGGAGAACTAAATCCAGTTTTTTCCCGATGAAGAGTAAACGCCATTCAGTAAAAAGCCTATGAATTTCCAATATGATCACCCCGGCATTGCTCGCATATTCACACTTAGGATGATATAGATCGGAGATTTCAAGCCGACATACGAAGTGCATGCTTCACATTGAATATTAAAAACGGCGCTTACATTAATTTATTTATAATGATAACCTATAATATTATTCTATAAATATACATATTAATTGATTAAATAATAGTACATATATAAGGTCTGACGTTAACGTTATCAAATAATATTACATATATTAATCTTTATTTAATATTAGGTAATCGTAAGTTATTAAATAATAATATGCTTATAATAGTTTAATATTATGTATAGATATCTATATGAATATTAGTATCAATATGATACAAATAATATATAAATGATACTTACGGAAATCTTTCATAGTAGCATTCTTACCTCGCCGTTTTGGTCCTTCAACACATCCATCGCCTTTCCATTTAGTTCATGCAATTGGACGATGTCTCCTTCCAACTTCAACTCCGATTCGATCGCCTGCACACAGCCCGAGGGAGCCTGAAAAAGCCCCGAGAAGGATTCGAACCGGGGTAACTACCACTTTAGCAAGATGCTCTACCACTATACCATCTCGTCACCCCACACAACCGCTACCTCGTCCTTTCGTCCGTTAATCAATACCACTCTTTGAGTAACTCGACGTTTCTCCTCGGGACCTGATTCCCATCCACTGAACATAGACCACTCTTAACCCACCCCTACACGCTAACGGCAACTCGTCCGGACTTAACACAAACAAACCCGCAAATTCCTCTTCCATTCTCCTCCCGATCTCCAACGCAATAGTGCCTTACAAGAATGGCAAACATGAAACGCTTCGCTCCGCCCTCACCTCCTTGGCCAACACCAAGAAAAGCAATTTCGTTGCTTTTCCAGCCACATGTTTGTATCAGCGACGATGTGATATATTCCGACAATCGATTCACCGCGTTAACGGCGGAGTCCTTCAACGAATTCTGATACAAAACTTCCTTCGAAAAACCAAATAAAACCACAACGATAATCTTCAAAACTCTTTCACATTTTGTCCATCTCTCGAGAAAAAACGGTGAAACCTCAACCAGTTTTGAATACGAGTTTCCATACAGTACGCGCAAACTGAGCGGAAAAGTTCATTGCGTCTTGAGACAAGTTTCAAGCGAATTCTTTTACCATTGTTGTTCATGAGGTTAGGTTGAAAGATGAACTTCTTTTCATAATGATTGTTGTAGATGGCGAGTACTGTATTGAATATTAAAATCAGATCATTCGAATTTGGAAGTGATAGAGTTTAAATTGATATTCCAACAGTGTTGGAGTAGGAATATATGTAATCGCTTTCCTCACCTGCTGAGCTCAGGAGTTTCCTATACAGTGTTGGAGTAGGAATATATGTAATCGCTTTCCTCAGTTGAGCTCAGGAGTTTCCTATACAGTGTTGGAGTAGGAATATATGTAATCGCTTTCCTCACCTGCTGAGCTCAGAAGAGTTTCCTATACAGTGTTGGAGTAGGAATATATGTAATCGCTTTCCTCAGTTGAGCTCAGGAGAGTTTCCTATACAGTGTTGGAGTAGGAATATATGTAATCGCTTTCCTCACCTGTTGAGCTCAGGAATTTCCTCACTAGTAGAAGTTTACACACGAATTCTGATAAAAGTGTACAGAAACCAACAGAGTTTCCAACACATGTAGTTGACCAAGTGCATATTTTCCCACCACTTCAAGTGGTATTCCAAAAATTTCATTCCATTCCCACGTACATCTCCTCGAGGTAAAGTCGTCCCATCGGACCAGTCTATATTATCATACCAAAAATAGCCGATTTCATTACTGGGCTCAGCGGGAAGGATCCCATCTGGGAGGCGACGCTCTCCTGAAAATATAAGGTTGAGTAGTGAATCTACTATACACAGTGGAGTTTCACCCGTGATATGAAAAACACTAGTGAAAACATATTTCACGCTACCTCGAGCGACCAAGCATGCTACTCCAGGAAGATGCATTTTCCCGGCAAGTTCACCCAAGGCTTTCTTGCCATCACCAAAGCCATGCAATATAACCAATAGCATCACCGCCGCCGTGTCCCCAACGGGAGGGACATAAAGAGTATCATAGGTTCCACCTTGACATGCACAAAATACAGCGGAGCGAAGCGGAAAAAGATTCTCACTTGGAGGTTGGAGTTTGATAGAACTGGACCGGGCTAGAGCGAAAATTCGGGTTTGCAAGGCTGACTGAAGGCATATATTTTCACGGAAAATCGCTCGAATTGCTCACCTTCAACGTTTTTTCCCGGGTTAAATCGTCCAATAATTGCCGAGCACGTTTCAATTCGCCATCACCATCCGTACTTTCCGCAAGACCGAGGAGCGCGGATATCAATCTGTACACCTGAGAAAAAATAGACTTAATTTTCACATTCAATTATTTTTCGGAAAAAACAGCAAAAAATCTGGAAAAATCGGGTAAAAACGAGGAGAAAATCGAAAAAAAAACCGAGAAAACGGAAAAATCGGGAAAAATTTTCCTCTCAATGCAATATACACATACCAGTCAACGCCTTGAAAATTTTCACTATAATTTAATTCTCTGCAGTAAAGACTTTTCTGATAGTAAAAGCGTTGCTACAAAGAGTTCCTTACTATTTCCTCGAATGTAGATACCGAGTGAGACCTCAATTTCAGCGGCAAGACGTTTTCAATTGGACGCTGCACTCTGCGGCAAACTTGTCTACTTGTTGTTAATACACTGGTATAACAGTTCGGGTTTCTGGTTGCCTTGTCGGGTTTCGGGTTTCTGGTTGCCTTGTCGGGTTTCGGGTTTCGGGTTTACCCTTCAACTTGTTTTCCTTACATTTTGTATATCACCCAAACAGTGAAATTCGAGGATTTTTTCCAATAATTTCAAATAATTTCTAATACCCCGAAAATTTTCCGAAAAATTTCCTTCTCGAATTGAATAATATTTTTCCCTAATTTCCTTCTGCTCACCGTTTTCTCCCGTTTTTCGCCCAACTCTCCGCTGTTTCCGAGCAACTCTTCACAAATTCGTATCGTTTCTGGAAATCTTCGCAGTGCGAGCAGACAAGCGGCCGAATTGAGTTTTAATACGATATAGATTCTGAAGAGGAATAGTAAAACTTTTAGAGAAATGCAATTAAAACAAATTGTCCGTGAGGAAATTTTTGGGAGAGTTCGTTACAAGGATAATAGGATTACACCTTAGGAGTGCATTTGGTTTTAAGAAATGACCTTCCCCAGGAGTTGATAACAATGATGATATTCACCTGGGAAACTCATGTATGCGAAAAAAAACTAAAAAATATCATCAAATTGTAGATGAGTTCCCCCCGGGAACATTATAGGTTTGTGATGATTCCCTGATCCACCTCTGAGACGGTAAATGATAGGAGTCATAAATGCGACTTTTATCAGCCTCAAACGAAGAACGCAGAGGAGC